GCCCCGCGAACATTTCAGCAGTTATTATAGGCCTGTGTGTCCCGTATTTCTGTCGACTTGAACCCATGCCGTTAATTATGAATTTATCAGTCTTTTGCATGCCAAAGTCAATTTCTGCATAGAAATATTACGCCAAATAGAAGCTGAAAATCGTGCTATACGCACTTTCATGAGATCGGGTTAGCCTACAACAATTAATTTGTTGGCTATTTTACAAATGGGAATAAACGAATTTATGACAATGTTTACATTCAAGCTACCCGTAAAATTTATAGTGAAAAGTACTTTAAAAGCGTCTGGAATGCAATAAAGTAATTTTAAAGCTGTTTTTTAAAGCATTTGCAGCATTGATAAAAATATAAATAATTAACATATCATACAAAATTGCGTTGCAGCAAATCCTTTACATTTTAAGGTATTCAGAACAGAGCAACATAAAAATCAGAAAAAGCAGCTATACAATTATAGGACAAAGTTTTACATATATGCCATTATAATTAGCGTTTTATTTTTTAACTGTACGTAATTATAAAATAAAATGCAAATTATAATCGGGCCTTCCATCAATTATAGTGATGAAAAAATGACTCGCCATCTCCTAATTGGATGTGCCTTTAGAGAGAAATGCACGGATTACATAATGAAAGAGTTTATTTTATTAGGAGTCTATTTTCGATTTGAATTATTTCGTTTTAAAGTAGTAATTTAAAGCTTTCTATATATTTTGATCATGTCTGAGTTTAGGTTCATCATTGTGAAGCGCTCCTGTTCAAGCCCGAGACGGCAGAAAGCGTTTGTTTTCTTTATTTTATAAAAGCAAATATTTGTTGATATTGTGAGTGCACACTAGACCCTTTAGACCCTTTACAGTTTAGAATGACGTATTACTCTTACCTTTATGAGCAAAAATGACTGCGTTGTTTCCATCGCACAAACGATTGGATATGCGTCTAACAGCGCACATTTATATAGGTTAAACATTTAAACTAACATTGTGATATACTTGAACTGTTTTATATATAGATTTTATTTTAGGCAAGTCCTGATGATTTGAGAAGGCTAAATTGATCAAACATAGGCTATAGGCTATGATCAATTCACTGTCTGCCGCTGGCCTTTACTTAAAAAAAACAAAAAAAACCGTACAGATTAACAAACAAAAAATACTCCAAATGTTTTTCTAAATTTACTTTATAAAAAAACCAAACGAAATATAATCACTTTTCCATTACATACAAAACTGAACTAGTATAAGCATTTTTTGGGAAAAGGGGAAAAAAGACGGGCTAAATTTGAGACCCGTGCAGGGCTTTAATCCACTTCATCCAACGCTGTTTTGTTCTCATCTGTGAGCATGCACTTGATATATGTATTTTAGATGTGTAAATGTATAATTGCCTTTTCATTATTTTTTCAGTTTTATTTAAATTTGTAGTTAAAACAACTAAAAATAAATGTATTTTAAAGTTTAGAATTAGACAGCACACAGGCTTACGCTGAAAACAACAAAATGGAACCTCAAGGTTGATCTAGGAAAATGCGTGCAAATGTATAGGGCCCCATTCCTATATTTTGCCTGGGGCCCCCAATTCACAAAATCCGCCCCTGGTCTGCGGCAGTGCGAACGCAGATTTGAATGATCCGGTAAGACTTTGTAAAAGGTTTAATAGACACGGGAGAATCGTTGTCATTAAGAAATGAGATCGTGTGGTTGTCTGAATCGAGATCGCGATCTTTTAACGATTAATCGTGCAGCTCTAACATAAAGGATATTTGTGTTGTTTAACATTTAATTATTGCAGGTTTGTGTCATATTCTGAGTTGCATTATTTTTATTCATTTTGAGGAATACTGAATCTGTGTTTAGTTTTTTTTTGAGTGAGATGAATTAATGCATATTCATATTTATTTTAGAACTACAGTAACATCTTCTGATTTCCCAACATGGGGACAGGAGAGCTGTCAATCAATAAATTGGAAAAAAAAAAGTAACTCAGATATTCTCTTGTAAATTAAAAAGTAATGCGTTACTTTACTAGTTACTTGAAAAAAGTAATCTGATTACGTAACTCGCATTACTTGTAATGCGTTACCCCCAACACTGCAGCTCACACCACGACTCCCCTGTCACCGTCGCTGTCAT